CTAAGCTGCCTCTTTGGGATAACCAATTCAACGTAACCGATGAATGAGACCCAGATCCTAATCGTAGTCGTTAGGAAAGCCCCCCTTCTTGATAAAAGTCTTTCGATTCCAGCCACTTGGCCTTTGCTCACAGTGTCTTGTGCATCAAATACCCACTCACCCTAGAATTTGCCCCAAGGCCGTCTAATAAAGGAGCCTCCCCTCGAGGCCCTTGCCTGCAGGAAACAGTGTTTTCCTGGTCCTGACCTCACTCTCCACCCCTCCCCTCCAGGCAAGGTCCAGGCTCAGCCCCGTACCCCCCGTTGTCGTTTCCCGTGTCCCTGTCCTCCCCCTCCCGTTTTGTCCCTCCCAGTGTCTGGGCTTTGGTCACCCTAGAATGTTAGTGTCCATCTCTGTATCTGTTCCCCACCCCGCAAGACTGAGAGCCCTTCGAGGGCAGGTACTGGTTCTGCATGATAGGTGTCAGCAGCAGCATCCAGCACAGGACTGGATTCGAGAGGACTCAGAAAGTGAGAGCTAGTATCTGGGATTTCTCATCCATAAAGTGGGATGTTGTGACCTTCTTGGAAGAAAATTCATATTCAAAGAGCTCTGCTCAGGCTAAAAACTTTGCATCATCCCTGATTCCCCATTCCCGGCCCCCAGCAGTCCTGCAGCAAGTCCTGATGGTTTTTCCTCCAGAATACGTCTTAAAGCACAGACTCTGGAGCCAGGCTTCCTCGGGTTCAAATCCCAGTTGTGCCTCGTACACGCTCTGTGACCTTGAGTAACTTACTTAGCCTCTCTGAGGCATAGTTTGATCATGTGTGAAATCTGGATTAAATAAGTTACAATTATTAATTAAAATAGACCTCTGTTTTATAAAATAACTGACGAGCATCCTTCAAAACTGTCAAGGTTGGGAAAAACAAGGAAAAACTGAAACACTACAGGCCCGAGGAGACTTAGGAGCTGTGCTGACCTAAGGGTATCCTGCTCTGGATTCTGGAACAGAAAAAAGAGGACGTTAGTGTAAAAACTGGTGAAATCCAACTAAAGTCTGGAGTTTAGTTGAGAGTCATGTTGGTTTCAAACTTGTGACCAATGTACCACAGCGATGTAAGAAGATAACATGAGGGGAAGCTGGGGGCGGAGTATTTGGGAACGGTCTGTGTTATCTTTGCAACTTGCCTGTACATATAAGTTTTCCACAATAAAAAATTTATTTAAAATAAAAAATGGACCTATGCCTCTCCGCTTAGCTCATTCCTTTCCAGCCCCTCAAACACTTGTTCCACCCTCTGTTCTCCCCACCGGGAATACTCAGTTCCCAGGTCTTCTGGCTCCTTCCCACAGAAGCCTTCCATATCCGTCTCACCTAAAATAAACCCATCTCCTTGCCCTGTCTTCACATCTTCGCAGTATTTATTCTTATAGGAAATGTACTATTTGTGTCTTGTCTGCCTCTCTCGCAGCAAGTAAGTTTCATAAGAGTAGGGGCCACATTTACCGTCCGGGGCTGGATCCCCAGCGCCGAGCCTGCAGCCTAGAATATAGCATGTAGGACTCCCGGGTCCGAGGGAGGAGGGGCTGGGGTTCTGGACTCCCGGGTCCGAGGGAGGAGGGGCTGGGGGCCTGGTCTCCTGGGTCTGAGGGAGGAGGGGCTGGGGGCCGGGAGAGTGGGGGCTGTGACTTGAGGTAGGTGGAGTTAAGGAATTAGATCCCCCGCGACCCGCCCCGCAGGCCCCGCCCCATTTCCGACAAAGTCCCGCCCACTTTCTTCCGGACCCCTCCCCGCCTCCCTGGGCTCTAGAGACTTCGAGGGGAAGGTGCTAGAAGAGACTTCGGAGACCCCTGTGAAGATGGAACAGCAGAAGGAAAGGACTGGGCCAGAGGGGTGAGAGACACAAGAACTCCCGTTGGGGGGAACAGACACCCAGAGAGAGTATCAAAAAAGAAAAAAAAAGTCTCAGGTGTCATCACGCAGAAACAGAATCTTAGAGAATCTTGGTGACACAGCTGAGCGAGATACTTAGAAATAAGGGGAGAGCTAGAAGCAGCTACTCGTGAAACACGGAGAAATTTCAAGAATGAACCAGGAGAATTTCAGATGCCAGCAACAGGCGTAGGGCTGGAGAAATAATAATAATAATTGTCCACGTTTCACTGAACGCTCTCCACACCTAACCCTTGAATACGCACCTTTGGTACCATCAAAAGCCATCTTTCGGTATGAGAAATTAAGGTTCAGGGTGGAAAAATGATTGGCCCAGAGACACACCGTGAGCGAGGCAGCCTGGAATTGGAACTGAGTTCTGTCTGACGCTGAAGCTCCTACAGAGCTGTGTGTCTCTCTGTAAAGAGAGACAGGAGGAAACTAATAGAGAGAGAAGGGGGTGAGGAGGTCAGAGGCGGACACAGAACTGAGCGCGGAGAGGGCTGGACTCCCTCCCAGGAGAGGCACAGAAGTAGTGAGGCTGCTGTAAGGAACGACTCATGCAGGTGGTGAGACCCACTGACCTGTCCTTTGTCATTCTAGGAACAACCTGTCCCCGCTGTCATCTGGGACTGAGTCGTCACCTGGCACTGAGTTGTGGCCCCCGGCACTTTTCCCAGCCCTGCCAGCTTCTCTCCTGGGCACCCCAGACCCAGCCCACCTGGGGCTCCCCGAGAGCCTGGCCTCTGTCACCATCCCCATCCGCCTGGATGCCCTCTCCTACCTCCTGCACAGCGCCCTGCTGGGGGCCTACACCCTTCAGCAGTCCTTGCCCTCCTGTCCCTGCTCCCACCAGGCGTGCTGCACCGGGCCAGGCACTGCCAAGAGGCCATCCAGGGGACGTGGGGGGTGGGAAGTCTGGCACAGGCCAGGCCGGGGCCGGGGCCAGGGCCAGCGCCGATGGGGACCTGGGAGGGCTGAGCGGCCAGAGAGGAGCTGGGCGGGGTACTCTGGGGCTGGCCCCAAGACCCCGCTGATGACGCCACCACCACCACCAACACCGCCTGCCCAGGATGCAAAGAGGGAAGCCCGCGGTCTGGAGACACCCCCGGACGGGCCACCTGCTGCTGAGGACTGGGAGGCAGAGTATTAGGAGCTCCGGAGTCCAGCACCCCGGACTCTGGAGAGGGCCCGTCGGGGTCACCAGGAGGGCTGTCCTAGAGCCCAGGGTGACTTCAGCCCTGTCAGAGATACCCCAAGAAGCATCATGTTCCCAGCCCTCTTCCCTCAAAACCATGGCCTCAGGAGTGAGGCCTGCAAATCACCTGGTGAAACCCGGACCTGACTTAGGATTCCAAGCCAGAAAAAACCCTGAACCTTATACCCAGGCCCAAATCCATGCCTCTCCAGGTTCCTGACACCATCCTCAGCAACAGTGACGACCCCACCCTCATTCTCACCCCCCAGGGCTCTTCCAACCCCAGCCCCAAAGCCATTCTCACCTCCCTCAGCAACCCCTGGGCCATGTCCACTCTCAGGACCATAGTCCCCATCCCGTGTATTCCCATTCATGTCCCCATCTCCACCCCAACCCACCTCATTCCCCACCTACCTCACGCCAGCCCTGCCCTCATCCTTCACTCAACCCCAAACCCAGCCCATCTTCAACCCCAGCCAGCCCCATCTCGTCCTCCACCTCCTTCCTGTCCCAGCTCCAACTGTCATGTGTCCTGTGACCCCACCCTGCAAAGAGCCCCCTGACCCGATACATCCAGACACCTGCAGCCCCCACCCCATCTCCTGCCCTTGGGGGTGAGGGGCCCTGGTTGGACAATAAATGGATGATTGTTTCTATGTCTTGTGTCTCTGTGTGTGCTTAAAGCTCAGGCTCACCCAGGGGGTGAGCAAGGCCTGGGAAGGGTGGTAGGGTCGTTGGGAGGGTCACAGAGAGAGGCCAGTGGGGCCAGGGGCTGCAGCGGGGGAGCGCCCAGATGCCTGCTTCAGCGAATTCCAGCTGGGGCCTCTGCCACCACTGCACTTCTGCCTGCTGGAAGCTGCTGGGACGAGGGGCCATTGTGTGGGGAGGCTTAAGGGATTTGGGGGAGCAGGGGAGCAGAGAGGCCAGCGGCCTGGCTCGGCTCAGTGTGCACAGAGGGGCCGAGGCAAACGGAGGGCTCAGGGCAGGCTCTGCCACTCAGGTAGGGACCAGGATGGGACCTGGGGTGCCCCTTCCTCCCCCAAGACCTAAGGGTCCAGTCCTCCAGCTCCTTCCTCTCCCAGGGACCTGGTGGGACCTAGCACCCTCCTCACCTAGGACCCAAGAGTCCAGGCTCCCAGCCCCCTCCTTTCCCAAGGACTCAGTGTCCCAGTGCCCAGTCCCCCCCGGCTTAGGACCTGGAAACCTAGGCCCCCAGCCCCTTTCTCAGCGACCAGGGGTCTAGGTCCTCTGTCCCTTCTCCCTCAGACTCAGGAGTCTGGAGTCCTAGCCGCACCCGACCTAAGATGGAGGAGTCTGGGCCCCCAGGCCCATCCTCCCCCAGAAGCCAGGAGCCCAGACCCCCAGCTCCTTCCTCTTCGAGGACCCTGGAGTCCAGGACCTCAGCCCCCTCCTCCCTCAGACTAGGAGTCCAAGCCCCCAGCCCCTCCTCCCTCAGACCCAGGAGTCCAGGCCCCAGCCCCTCCTCCCTCAGACCCAGGAGTCCAGGCCCCCAGCCCCTCCTTCCCCAGACCCAGGAGTCCAGGCCCCCAGCCCCTCCTCCCTCAGACCCAGGAGTCCAGGCCCCCAGCGCCTCCTCCCTCCGACCCAGGGGTCCAGGCCCCCAGCCCCTCCTCCCTCAGACCCAGGAGTCCAGGCCCCCAGCCCCTCCTCCCTCCGACCCGGGAGTCCAGCCCCCAGCCCCTCCTCCCTCCGACCCAGGAGTCCAGGCCCCCAGCGCCTCCTCCCTCCGACCCAGGGGTCCAGGCCCCAGCCCCTCCTCCTCCCTCAGACCCAGGAGTCCAGGCCCCCAGCCCCGCCTCCCTCAGACTTGGAGTCCGGGACTCTAGTCCACTCCTCCCCGGGACCCAGGAGTTCTGTCTTCTACCTCTTTCCTCTCCCAGGGACCTGGTGTCCTGGTATCCAGCTCCTTCCCACTCAGGCACAGGAGTCCAGGCCCCCAGTCCCCTCTTCTGCCAGGACTCAGGAGTCCAGCTCCTGCCCCGTCTCTCCCCTTCCCCACAGATCACCATGTACAGCTTCATGGGTGGCGGCCTCTTCTGTGCCTGGGTGGGGACCATCCTCCTGGTGGTGGCCACAGCGACAGACCACTGGATGCAGTACCGGCTGTCGGGGTCCTTCGCCCACCAGGGCCTGTGGCGGTATTGCCTGGGCAGCAAGTGCTACCTGCAGACGGACAGCATCGGTGAGGCTCTGGGGCAGGGTCTGGGCCACGCCTGGGGTCCGAGCCCCCACAGGTCAGGGGTCAGAGCCCCTCACAGGGCAGAACCTCACAGTCAAAGGGCCACCTGTTTTGCAGATGGAAAACATTGTGGCTCAGAGAGGGAAGGGGACAAGCCCAAGGTCACTCAGCGTGGAAGGAGCAGAATTGGGATTTCAGGTTTTCTAGTATGTACAATTACAGAACATACTGATTTAGGAGTTAAGTAGAGAGGTGACATTTCTTGGCAGGAATAGATGTCAGGTACAGCAGTTGGGGCTGGGGTTGTCAGAATAGTGTTTTTTATTTTTTGAAGATTTCGTTTTTCCCTTTCCTCCCAAAGCGCCCTGGTACATAGTTGTATATATTAGTTGTGGGTCCTTCTAGTTGTGGCATGTGGGATGCTGCCTTAACATGGCCTGATGAGCAGTGCCATGTCCACGCTCAGGATTCGAACTGGCGAAACCCTGGGCCGCCGAAGCAGAGCTTGTGAACCCAACCCCTCGGCCGTGGAGCTGGCCCGGTGGCGCAGCGGTTAAGTGCGCACATTCCACTTCAGTGGCCCGGGCTTTGCTGGTTCGGATCCTGGGTGCAGACATGGCACCACTTGGCAAGCCATGCTGTGGCAGGCGTCCTACATATAAAGGAGAGGAAGATGGGTACGGATGTTAGCTCAGGGCCAGTCTTCCTCAGCAAAAAGAGGAGGATTGGCAGCAGTTAGCTCAGGGCTAATCTTCCTAAAAAAAAAAAAAAAAAAAAGAGCTATGTTAGGTACTAGGGGAGACAGAAGCAACACGAACCCTAAATTTGCTAAATACTGGATGAGGTATTTTTAATCCTTGCTGCGTACCATGCCATGTAATGTACATGTGTGTATATATATGTGTGTATATATGTATATACATGTATAGATTACAATATATATTGTAAAAATGGGGATAAAATAGTACTTACACTATAGGGCTATTGCAACCTATATTATAATAATATATATATTCTATGTATCTCTATGTATCTCTTTCCATATATATTTGCGTGTATTATACACATACATGTATATGGAAAGAGAGATACATAGATATATATATAGTATATTACATAATACATATTATACTATATACATTATACATTAATAAATTAATAATATATGGTATATTACATATTATATATCCAATAATAGTAGTAGTCATAATAATAATAATACCTGGCACTTGTTGAGTGTTACTGTGTGTTACATGATATTCTGAGTACATTCTGTGGATTAACTCCCTTCAGTCTCCCAAGAACACAAGAGGGCGGTTCCACTGTGTCTGGGAACAGACACGAGACTTGACCTCAAAAAGCCAAACATTGTCTTGAGGGGGTTTGAGAGGAGGAGCTGACCCTCCCTGAGCCCCACAACCTGACAGGCCCATGCCAGGAAATTTCACCTACCCCACCTCGCTGAACCTGCCCTGAGAGAGATGCAGCAGGTGCCCATTTGCCAGAGCGGTAAACTGAGGCAGGGAGTGGTGGAAAGACTTGCCCTGGGCCGCCAGCTTCAGAGCCCAGTCTGCCTGACTTTGTGCATCCTTTTCATTTCCGGCTGTCTCCTTTGTCTCATTTCGACCATCTCTCCTGCTTCAGACTAGGGACACCCCAAGGGACATCTCTGAGTCCCCTCTGCATCTTCTCTCTGCTGGGGAGGGGAGAGAGGGAGAGTGATGGAGATCCTCAAGTTCATTTGACACCAAAATCGAGAACCACGGGGCCATACCTCATTCCGATTGATCCTTGGGTATTTATCCAAACAGCTGGCTTAATCTGCTCATCAATGGTAATCTGCTCACCATAATTGGAGCAGAAATCCTGAGCCTGTTTCCCAGGGGCCGAACCCAGGCATGGATGTGTATGCAGAGTGTTTTTAAAGTTTCTAAAGTTGTTGCCAGGACTAAAAAATCTGGAGATTTTACATAAAAGTCTAGACTTGCAGATCTTTTTGAAAAATCCAATTTGGCGCGTCTCCCTCCTGGTCCACAGTGGTCAGCTGAGGATGAGCAACAGCTGTCCCCTTCAAACGGGGTGGACCAGTCAGAGTCCCTTCAGGAGGCAGAAACCACACAGTGCCTTGAATAGAGACGGTTTTCTGTAAAGTTGGAGCCGAGAGGCAGTAAGTGACCATTGGTACATGGGACATACTTGTCTGGTTCACGCAGTCTGCGGTCTCCCAGCACATCTTGCCCTTATTTGCAGCTGCAGTGAGGCCTCAGAGGCATTTGCGTTTTCCACCCCCGCATGAGCACAACCACAGGAAAGAAATAGGCTACAACGTACCCATAAGTCCTCCAGACTTTTTTTTTTTTTTTGAGGAAGATTAGCCCTGAGCTAACTCCTGCCAGTCCTCCTCTTTTTGCTGAGGAAGACTGGCCCTGAGCTAACATCCATGCCCATCTTCCCCTGCTTTATATGTGGGACACCTACCACAGCATGGCTTGCCAAGCGGTGCCATGTCCGCACCCGGGATCTGAACCAGCAAACCCCAGGCTGCAGAAGCAGAATGTGCGCACTTAACCGCTGCGCCACCGGGCCGGCCCCAAGTCCTCCAGGCGTTTAAATACCCAGAGGCATCGCATTAATTTCCTGTGTTTCCATAACGAAGCAGCACATTGGGTGGCTTAAACAGAAATTTATTCTCACAGTCCTGGAGGCCGGAAGTCTACTATCAAGGTGTCGGCAAGGTCGGTTCCTTCTGAGGGTTCTGAGGACGTGTTCCAGGCCTCTCCCCTCGCTTGTGTGTCCATCTTTGGTGTTTCTTGTAGATGCATCACCCTGGTTTCTGTCCTCAAGTTCACATGGGGTTCTCTCTGTGTGCAAGTCTGTGTCCAGATTTCCCCTTTTATGAGGACATCAGTCATCTTGGATTAGGGGCCCACTCTACTCCAGTGTGACCTCATCTTCACTCATTATGTCTGCAACCGCCCTGTTTCCAATAAGGTCATATTCTAGGCACTGGGGTTAGAACCTCGACATATGAATGTAGGGGTGGGAGGAGACACAGTATAACCCATAACAGCATCCATGGAGAAATAGCCAGGGATTTTTCTCACTGAGGTTCGTGCAAGACAGAAGACTACATTTTGCAAAGATCTGAGACTTTCTTTTTTTTTTTTGAGGAATATTAGCTGCCAATCCTCCTCTTTTTTTTTTTTTTTTTTTTTTTTTTTTTTGCTGAGGAAGACTGGTCCTGAGCTAACATCTGTGCCCATCTTCCTCTACTTTATATGTGGGACGCCTACCACAGCATGGTGTGCCAAGCAGTGCCATGTCCGCAGCTGGGACCCGAAGTGGCGAACCCCGGGCTGCCAAGAAGCAGAATGTGCACACCTAACCACTGCACCGCTGGGCTGGCCCGAGATCTGAGACTTTTTACTTTTCAATAAGAAAGTACTGGTCCTGGTGCTCTGAGGAACAGACTCACCATGCAGTTAAGAGTGAGGGCTTTGGAGCTTGGGTTTTAACGCCAGCCCCACTGCTAATTATGGGACCGTGGGCAAGTCGCTTCACCTCTCTGAGCCTCAGTTTCTTCACTTGAAAAATGGGGATAGGTGCCAGCCCAGTGGTGCAGTGGTTAAGTACGCACGTTCTGCTTTGGTGGCCCGGGGTTTGCCGTGGCAGGTGTCCCACATATAGAGTAGAGGAAGATGGGCATGGATGTTAGCTCAGGGCCAGTCTTCCTCAGCAAAAAAAGAAAAAGAAAAATAGGGATGAAAATAATGCTCACAGCATAGGCTCTTGGAAGAAACAAATAGGACTTTTTGAGATATGGGCAAGCAGTATGAAGGAAATGAAAGAGAGCATAGGAGAGAGGATAGAGAGTGAATAGCAGGAGGATATGGGGAATCAGCATTCATTCAGTCATTCAGTCATCCAACAAACATTTCTCCACATGGAAACAACCCACTTCCTGTCCTCAGAGAGCAATCAGGTGGAGGGGCAGACAGATAAAGAGTGTTCCAACCCAGAGCAGGGAGTGAGGATGATACCTGGCAGGTGGAGGGATGTTTCCTAGGGGAGGGGACTTGGGAGCTGGGCTTTGGAGGATGAATAGGAGTTTGCCAGGTGAAGAGGAGGGCATTTGCAGAGAGGTGAAAGAGAAGCTGGGTCAGGCATATGGAGAGAGGCAAGGCACTCTGGCCCTCAGAGGTAGCAGCATTCACCACTGAGGGCAGGGGAGGCGTGAGAGTGACCGTGGGGTGTTCCCACAGCATACTGGAATGCCACCCGGGCCTTCATGATCCTGTCTTCCCTGTGTGCCACCTCCGGCATCATCATGGGCATCCTGGCCTTGGCTCAGCAGCCCTCCTTTGCCCGCCTCTCCCGGCCCTTCTCCGCGGGCATCATGTTTTTTGCCTCCAGTGAGTGGACCCCCTTAACCCTACCCCACTCCCCACCCCCAACTCCCTGCCCATCTCACACCCAACCCACCCCACCCCCACCCCTCTCATCCCCGACTCCTTCTCCCTCTCAACTTCGTCTTCACCCCCAGTGTGGACTCCAGGACTGTTTCTAATTCCGGCTTATTCTGACACCAGCCATGTGCTGCAATTCAATTCTGGTACGAACCACCCAGAATTGGCGTCAGATCCCACAGGTTTAAGGGCTCGGTTCCCAAGCCTGCCCCTACTTCAGCTGCAATGTGGGTCCCCAGGCCACCTGTGCTTCTGACCAACTGGCTACAGACTCCAGGGCTCCCCAGGACCCACTCAAGTTCAAAAATTTGCTACAACAGGTCACAGAACTCAGGAAAGCACCACACTTCCAATTACAGTTTTAGCATAAAGGATGCAACTCAGCACCAGCCAAATAAAGACATGCACAGGGAACAGCCAGAGAGGCGTGAATGCGGAGCTTCCGTGGCCTCTCCCGTGGGCTCAGGCTGCGTCGCCCTCCCGGCACATCGATGTGTTCACCAACCAGGAAGCTCCATGCGCTTCGGCATCCAGAGTTTCTATTGGAGTTTCATTACGAAGGCGTGACTGACTGAATCACTGGCCACGTAACTGAGCTCAAACGCCAGCTCCCTGCTCCTCCCCAGGGCTGGGCTGACATCCAGTGGCTCAAAGCCCCAACCCTCTGCTCTCACCGTTGGTCATTCCAGTGAGCAGCTCCTAACCTGAGTCATCTCAGCTCAGCAGCATAAACTCACATGTGATCCCAGAGGCTCTAGGATGATAAAGGCGCTCCTATGACTCAGGAAATCCCAAGGATTTATACTCTCCCTCCCAGGAAGGAGAGACAAAGACCAGTCAGATTCTTTATTACCTGGTGCAACCCCGCCCATGCCTGCCCGTCCCCATCCAACCTATGCCCCATTCATCACTACTCCTACTTCCAACTCAACTCCCATCCTCACCCCAATCCCTACCCGTGCCCACCCCACCCCTTCCTCAGTCTCGCTCCCACCCCCACCTCCAAACCCAGCCCAGCCACACTCGCCCCTCTTTCCCCAGCCTTTTTCGTGCTGTTGGCCTTGGCCATCTACACTGGAGTCACCGTCAGCTTCCTCGGTCGCCGCTTCGGGGACTGGCGCTTTTCCTGGTCTTACATCGTGGGCTGGGTGGCCCTCCTCATGACTTTCTTTGCAGGTACGAGCGGGGCTTGTGGGTGGGAAGGTCAGCGGCAGTGGCAGAGTGGGCAGCGCTACAGAGGGCAAGACGATGGGGTGTCCCCCACGGGCAGAGCACTGAGCCGGAAGGCCGACTCCAGGGAGATGGGGAGTGGTGGGGTGGGGATTGGGGTGGGAGCAGGGGCTGGGAAGGCTTTTGAGGGGGGAAATCCATTGGGATCTCTTGTCTTGTAGGTATTTTCTACATGTGTGCCTACCGGATGCATGAATGCCGGCGCCTGTCCACTCCCCGCTGAGCCCACATCCATATGCATCCCGGACCCACCTGCATCTGGAAGTTATAATGAGGTCACTGAAGAGGAGAGGGAGGGTCCAGAGGCCTGGACTCTGGGTGGGGGCCCCGGACTCCTGTGTCCCAAGGGGGAAGGAGGAAGAATGGGGCCTGGTGGGCGGCAGTTGAGAGGACCCAAGGCCCCACCCATTGGGGGGGTGTTAGAGAAATGGAATGTGCGTTAGAGCGACTTTTTGGAGTCTAATAAAACCGTTGTGAAACTACTGAAGTGTGGTCCCCGAGGGGCTGGAGAGAAACAGGTGGGAGTCTGGTGGATGGGGTTGGGGGTCGTATTACGGCAACCCAACCTGCTCAGTTCTGTGGGCATGGGACGGAAGCAAATCCCACAGTCCCCGTCCAGGGGTTCATTACACTTCAACTTCAGGAAACTGACATGTAAGTCCAGTTCGGATCCCGATTCCGATGCGTGTGTGTGTTTAACCCCACACCACCAAGCAGTTAACTCAATTCTGATGCCATCTACCTGGAAATAGTGTCACATCCCACAGCTTCCAGGCTCAGTCCTACAAGACTGTCCCCCGCCCCCACTTCAGACACCAAACACAAGTCCAGGTTGTCACCTGTGCTTCTGACCGACCAGCTATAGATCAGAGGTTCCTACGACCCTCTCCTTGGGTTGATTAATTTACTAGAGTGGGTCACAGAACTGAGGGAAACATTTTACTTCCTAGAGCACTGTTTTATTATAAAAGGATATTATAACTCAGGAACAGCCAGTTGGAAGAGATGCATAGGGTGAGGTATGGGGACAGGGCGCAGAGCTTCCACGCTCCCTGAGCAGACCACACTCTCCAAACCTCCGCATGTTCACCAACCTGGAAGCTCTATGAACTTGGCCATTTTGGGTTTTTCTGGAGGCTTCATTACATAGGCAGGAGTGATTAAATCTTTGACAGTTGACCGATTCAACCTCCAGTTCCTCTCCCGTGGCCGGCCGGAGGTCAGGAAGTGGGACCTCTAATCACCGGGTTGGCTCCCTGGCAACCAGGCCCCACCCTTAGGTGCTTTCCCAAAGTCACCTCATTAACATAACAAGACATATTTACAGCTCTCATCACTTAGGAAATTCCAAGGGTTTTAGGAGCACTGTGCCGGCAACAGGGACAAAGACCAAACAGGTATTGCTTATTATTAATCATGATTTCACAGCAGGACAATCGGATGCCTGAAGAGACCTGTGATAAAGCCACTGCCCTGGCTCCTCACCCCATCTCTGGCCACATCTCCCAGCCTTCTCTTCCCCTCTCTGGTTCGGCCCCTCCAACAAGACGCATCAGAACTCTGACCTGCACCTCGGCCTCCAGCAACTCCCTCTGCACACGCCCTTCGTGACCTTGACCTTCTCTTCATTCACTCATTCATTAGTTCATTCAATAAACGGATGCCAACGGCCATGAGATTTACTGATGTCGATCATAAAATAATAAGACTGTTTAGCAAGGCCGATTCTATCAAGAAGAATATTTATTACAGCCTATGCTAATAACTTATATTAACAGAGGCTTACTCCCTAGAAATAATATTTATTGGGGGCCTCCTCAAATAACAGTAATGCCGTATTTATAGAGGCTTCCTGCATAATGGCAACTGAGGCCTTCTCTAATAATAATTTATTGAGGTCTATTTAAGTAGGAATATTTACTGAGGCTTATCCCAGTAATCATATTTATAGGGGCTTCCTCCAGCAAGAATAGGATGTTGTACTTGTAACTGCAGACTCATATCTCTAACTCCTTACTCAACATTCCCACTTGAAAAGAAGAGGCACCTCACATCTCTAACACTGAGTTCCTGATCTCTCACAACCCCACATCTGCTCCTCCCATGGTCTCCTGCATCTTAGTAAAGGATTCCATTTTTATCCAACTGCTCAACCCAAAAACGCTGGGAGCATCCTCAGCTGCTTTCTTTGTTTCATCCCACATCTGATTCATCAGCAAATACTGTTGGCTCTTCCTTTTTTTTAAAAAAAAAAAAGATCGGCACCTGAGCTAACAACTGTTTGTTGCCAATCTTTTTTTTTTTTTTTGCCAATCTTTTCTTTTTTCTTTTTCTGCTTTTTCTCCCCAAATCTCCCCAGTACACAGTTGTATATTTTTTCAGTTGTGAGTCCTTCTAGTTGTGGTGTGTAGGGCACCTCCTCAGCATAACCTGATGAGCAGTGCCACGTCGACACCCAGGATCCAAACTGGTGAAACCCTGGGCCGCTGAAGCGGAGCACGCAAACTAAGCCACTGGGCCACGAAGCCGGCCCCCGTGTTGGCTCTTTCTTAAAACTATGTCTGGAAGTTGACTCCTTGCTCATCCACAGTCACCACGGAGATCCAAGTCACCATCATCTCTCAGCTGGCTTACTGCCACGGCCTCCTAACCAGCTCTGCCTCTGCCCTTACCCGCCCCCTGCCCACTGTGGTCCATTCTCTACACAGCATCCAGAGGGAGTTTTGTTAAAACGTGATTCAAATCCTGTCACTCCTCCGCTCTAAGCCCTCCAGTGGCTCCCATCTCAGATGAAAAGCTAAAGTCTGTCAAGGTCGTACAAAGTGCCATGTGTTCTGGACCCTGCTAATTCTCTGACTTGATCTGCCCTCCCTCACGGCAGTTCAGGGGTCCCCAAGACCAGCCTCGGGTTCTGACTCACTAGAAGGAGTCACAGATAAATAGAGAAGCTTCCTCTATTCTATATGTGGGATGCCGCCACAGCGTGGTTTGATGAGCAGTGTGCACGTCTGCGCCCAGGACCAAACCTGTGAACCCCGGGCTGCTGAAGCAGAGCTCGTGAACTTAACCACTATGCCACCAGGCCGGCCCAACAAAGACACTCTTATCAGGCAGGACAATCCAAGGACATAGAGGTTCCCTCCCAGGAGCTGGGCAAGGCTAACCCTTTCTTTGGTCAAGGTTAATGCTCTGCTCCTCACTCACTCTGCTCCAGCCTTGCCAGCCTCCGTGTTGGTCCAGGCATGCGCCCAGCTCTGCCTGGACCACGCTTCCCAGATGTCTTTCAGGTCTTTGCCTCAAAGTTACCTTTTCACTGAGGTGTCTCTGGCCACCCCACCTATAATCACATCCCTCCCCTCCTTCTCTGCTTTTGCCTCCCCACAGCACTTTTCACAAACATACTACATATTTTTCTCAGATCTATCATATTGTCTGTCTCTCCAGCTGGAATGGTGATGCCACCAATGCAGAAATGTGGTTTTGGTCATCTCTACATCCTCAGTGCTTATAAGACGGCACCTGCACACGGTAATGACTCTAAAGAATATTTGTTGAAAACTAAATATTTATTCAGGCCCATTGATAATGATATTTAGGGGCTGGCCCTGTGGCCGAGTGATTAAGTTCTCACCCTCTGCTTTGGCAGCCTGGGGTTTACCAGTTTGGATCCTGGGTGCGGAACTAGCACTGCTCATCAAGCCATGCTCTGGTGGCTTCCCAGATAGCACAACCAGAAGCACCTACAACTAGGATATGCAACTATGTACCGGGGCTTTGAGTAGAAAAGAAAAAAAGAGGAAGGTTGGCAACAGATGTTAACTCAGGGCCAGTCTTCCTCACCGAAAGCATTGAAAAAAAATGATATTTATCTACTTAGATTATTTATTGGAGTTTACCCTAATGATATTTGATGAGGATTTTTAGGCTGCTTAATTTTAAAACGGTTTATGACGAGGATTTTTAGGCTGGTTACTTTTAAAACTACAGATAAGAAGCAGGCTCTGAGGAGTGGAATTTGTTTGCCCTTTGATCAGAGACAGTTGCATTTGTGAAGGAAATCTCCATGCCTCCCTCTCTGCGCCAGGAGGAAGAGGGGATGGCCTTATCTCTGGAAACTCTTAATGGGGAAGGCAAGAACTTAAGTTGTTTACTGTCTGGCAACCTCATGTAACTGACCCCCCACCCCAAAATCCTTTGTCTTTAGTTGAAGATAATATTTGAGCGGTGACTTCTGCCATTTACTCAATCCGGTTTGATTCTTATCTAAAAGTTGTGGGACCGCACAACGGCCAGACCCTACCGGCACTGGTACCATTTTAACTTTTTTTTCTTTGTCTCGTAAAGAGATAACTCACATACCTATGACTTAAATTTAGACCTAACCCTCAACTTGGGGCAGCAGCAGAGGCAGCAGCAGGAGCTGTGACTGCCCGTGGGTCCTGTCCCCACGCACCAGCTCTGACTGCCTGTGGGTCCTGTCCCCATGCCAGCGGGGGCAGCAGTAGGGGCTCTGCCTGCCCATGGGCCCTGTCCCCATGCCAGCGGGGTCAGCAGAAGCGGCGGCAGCAGAACCTCTGACTGCCCATGGGTCCTGTCCCCATGCTATTCTATACTATTCTCTAAATAAAAGAGCACTACTGCCTGATGTGGATTAAGGCTGCCCCAGCTAGAGAAGCCTAAGGTGACCTGGCCTACATGCCAAACTATATGACCCAGTGGACTTTTTTTATGGTATGAATTAGGACTGCCCCAGGGAGAGAAGCCCAGGGCATCCTCACCTACATGCCGATCTATATGGCCAGATTCGTATCTAAAGTTATATGACCACACAATAGCCAGACCCCATCTGCACTGAAATCATTTAATGACTTTTTACATCATCTTTTCTTTTCTCCAGTAAAAATAAGTCACGTACCCATGCCTTATAAAATTAGCCCTAACCCTCAACTCGGGGCAGCAGCAGGAGTTCTGACTGCCCGTGGGTCCTGTCCCCACGCACCAGCTCTGCCTGCCCATGGGCTCTGTCCCCATGCCAGCGGCCGCAGCAGAAGCGGCGGCAGCAGAAGCTCTGACTGCCCATGGGTCCTGTCCCCATGCTATTCTATTCTCTAAATAAAAGAGCACTACTGCCAGATCTTAAGAGTCTAAGAAATCTTTCTTTTGACCCTCGGCTCACCAACCCCGCATCAATATTCACTGAGATTTAATATATTTTTATCATCATAAGAGACCACATTAAATATTATTGAGTGGGCCTCAATAGAAATGATGGCACCTTCCATAATAACTGTTTATAAACAGCCATCACTTCTTTGCTCTAATAGAATGTAGGCTCAGTGAGGGCAAGTCTGGTGTGTCTTGTGCATTGCTGTGCCCCAGGGCCTAGCATAATGCCTGAACTATAAGAAGGGCTGGTTGAATTGAATATCTCCAGAGGCCTCCTATGGGCCAGATCCTATGCTGGGCCCTGGGGGCCCCCAAATTAATCAGATTTTGTTCCTGTCTTCAAGTTCTTGGGGTCTGGAGAATAAGAAGTGGTGGAAGGAGAGACACTGTGGATCAAGCCAATAAAGGAGGGCCGGAGAGATAATAATTTGGTTGGGGGTGTGCATTCAGTGCCCTGGACTGAGCATGGGGCCTTGGGACTGGGGGACCTCAGCTTGGAAGACAGAAACAACAGAATGGAGACCAGGTCCCCAGGTCATCAGGGAGCTTTACAACACCTTGCCAAGGACAGACATGGAGGTTCTGTGGGACAACTCCCTCTTCAGTGTCCTGTTCAGCTGCTGCTCCTTTGGGCTCTTCCTGGTGGCCTTTGTCTGCCCCTACTGGCTTGAGGTGTGTGAACCAGGGGGCACCAAGGACCTGGGCCTGTAGTCAGCCAGTGATGCCTATGCATGCAGAAGCCTGTGGGAGCCCGGCACAGGTCATGTATGTGCATGCATTTGTGTGTGCAATGGTGGTGGTGGGACTCAGGGAGATGAGAAACAGGGTTACAGCCTTGGACCTAGAGGTGGGACAAAGATGAAAATGGGGGTTTGGGGTGGGAATTATAGGGGGTGGGGAGAAGCACGAAGAAGGAAGTGAGCGTGGGACTGGGACTGGAAATGCAACCTGGCATGGGGATGGGAATGAAGACAGGGTTAAGTCTAGGGACGAGGATGGGTTTGGGTTTGGGGTTGAGTTTGGGCTTAGGTTTGTGAATAAGAATGGGCTTAGGTTGGACGGTGAGGGTGGGGTTAAATTAGAGGTTAGAGCTGGGGTTAAGGAATGGGTTATGTTTGGGTTTGGGGATGGGATTGAGTTTAGAGTTGAGTTTGGGAATGAGAATGGGGTTAGGTTTGGGAATTGGCATGGGTTGATTTTCGGATTGGAACTGGGGTTATGTTTGTGGTTGGGGATGGGGTTGAGGATAGGATTGGAGCTGGGGTTAAGGATGGGGTTGGGTTGGAGGGCAGGGATGGCGTTGGGTTCAACGAAAGGGATGGCTTTAAGGATCCCTTAGGAGTTGAGTTTGCGATGGGGTCAAGATCACACATGGGCTCTGTGATCTGACTGCCCCCTCACTACACACCCATGGCCCAGACTCCCTGAAGCCTGTCTGGCCAGAGCCAGAGCCGTGTCCACAGCCATTTTTGCGCCGGCTCCCTGCTGCTCAGGACCTGGATCCACCCCTGGCAGCCTGTCCTCATGAGCATGTTCTCAGCGTGGCCAGTTACCGCATTAGTGAGGGTGTGAGTGACAGATGGGGGGCCTGCAAGTTGGTCTCCACTAAAGGAAGAAGACCTGGCCTCTTGGGTCCCTCTGTTTTTTCCCCTTGCCGGTTGTCCAGGGACTGCTGACTCAGTTTGATTTCATGACAGAGGTCCTCTTTCGGGCCATTCTCTGTTTCATAGAGGTCAATTTTGCCTGGGTCTCTCCCTGGGCTGTGCCCCCTTCACCTTATATTTGCTCACATATCAGGTGACATTTTGCTCGGGACCTGATGCTGGTGCGGGAGGAGGGGTCTCGTGCTTGGAGGGCTGGAGGGTCCTGCACAGACACCCTTGTGCCACCTGCGCCCCCCAGGCTCTGATCTTGATGAGGAAGCCCACTACACTGGAGGCCCCACTCAAAGCAGCGCTGTGTGTGAACGCACTTATCAAATGAGGATGTGGGTGTCTTCCCCTCCACAAACTTTTAGAATTGTGATTCTCCACCATTTGCTGGCCCTGGGCATAACTTCAAGCAGGGATCCAGGAGTCTGAGTTCCCGACCTGCCTCTCCCTTCCTCCCTCAGGACCTGGAGTCCAGGCCTCCAGACCCTTCCGCCTTCAGCCCCAGGCATCTTGCCCTCCAGCGCCCTCCTTCTATGGAGACCCTAAAGTGGGTACCCCGCCCTCCTAGAACGGAAGGTGGCAGAACCCACAGCAAAACATGACACATCCCCCAACTATCTCCTCTGGCCACATTCCCCCTCCTGTTTAACTCACACTCTGGCCTCATGCACCACCTTCCACCCCCGGGCCCCCAAGCTTTTCTCTCACTTCTTCCAGGAAGCCCCCTCTGGTGTTGAGGCCTCTAAGGTAGGCCGCAGACAGAGGCAAGTTCTGAACCAACACCCCCACCACCACTGATGATTGACACCCTCAGTGCAGTCCACACCACACACTGACAGGGGAACAACCTTGGGGGAGGGGAGGATGCTGTCAGCACAACCCAGGAAGGGAGGGTGTGAGACAAGTCAGCTACCGGGAACTGAGTGAAACCAAACCAGCCTGGGCTTCAGGAGCACTGGTGCCCACTGCTTGCTGGCTTCTCTTTCTTGAGCTCAGAGGACCCAGGAGTCTGGATCACCAGCCCCTTCATCGCCCTGGACCTGGAAACCCAGCATGCCCCCCATGGAACCCTGTCGGTCCCTGGCCCTCCTCTCTGGCTCCCTGGGCCTTCTATCTGTCCTGGTTGCTCTGAGCACGGATTTCTGGTTCGTGGCCATGGGGACCACATCATCTCACTCGGGCCTTTGGCCAAAAGAGCATCAGGACCCAGTAGCAGGTAACAGGGAGAGATCTCTCTTACGGGCCAGGGTTGGGTGGGGAGAATGACCAGACGGGACAGGCATTCAGAGGTCTTGTTTCTGAGCAGGCTACATCCACGTGACTCAGGCCTTCAGCATTCTGGCTTCCCTGGGGGGTTTGGTGTCCGTGAGCTTCCTGGTCCTGTCCTGCATCCCCTCACTGTCTGTCCCGGGCCGTGGGCCCCTGGTCTCGTCTGTCACAGCCTTTGCTGCAGGTAAGGGCTCTGGGCTGCCCTTGGGCACTGGGGACTGCCGAGTTCCTACAGAGGGGCTGAGCCGTCTCTCTCCTCTCCATCCTCAGCCCTCTTCGTGATGGTGGCCATGATGGTCTATACCATTGAGCGGTGGAACCAGGCTCTAAATCCCCAGATCCAGACGTTCTTCTCCTGGTCCTTCTACCTGGGCTGGGTTTCAGCCCTCTTCTGGGTCTGTGCAGGTAGGTGACTGCTGCCCTGGGAGCTCGGGAGGGCCAGCTGGGGGCTCTCAGGAAGCAGGGCGGGACAGGTGCTAACCTCTCTATGCCACCCCAGGTGCCCTGAGCCTGGGTGCTCACTGCAGCGCCCCCCTTCCTGGCTACGAAGCCGTGTGAGCTGAGGGCGAGAATAGCAGGACGGGTTTGGAGCACTGTTCTCTGAAGGCATCGCCAGGAACCATGGGATTACACGATGCCCCCTCCAGCCCTCACCCCCAGCCCTCCCGCAGCCCCCTGCATTTGTTTCTTCATCTATTCAACAAAAATTGGCCGAGATCTGGTTATTCCAAGATTAATTCAATCACGACATAAGCCAACCATACGCCAGCTCCATGGGAGGCGACACCAGAGGAGTCAAGCCTCCCGCCAGCCCTCAGGGTGCTCCCGGCCAGTGTGGGGACCAGTGTGGGGACCTGCGTGGACTCAGGCACTGCCCCAGGTCCCTCTCCCTTCTCTGCCCTTGTCTCTCTCCCTGTCTCCATCTCTCTTCTTCGCCCTTCCTTCTCTTTTCCTCCCTGTCTTTCTCATTTTAGCTCTTTCCTTCCTGCTCCCTTGCTGATGTTGTCACCCTCGCTGATGTTGTCACCCTCGCCATCACCCTAGTCCTCCTTGCCCATTTCATTCATTCATTCATTCATTCCTTCAGTTGGTTTTTCCTGACCACATCCTTTCCACTGGGCCTTGCTGGGATGCGGACATGAGTCAGACCTGGGCCTTGCCCACCAGGGGCTAAAAGTCTGGTGGGGGCAGGTGGCTAATACAGGCCAGACAGCAGAAAGGGCGCGGGAGAAAGACTGACCCCGTCAAAGACGGTGGAGATGAGCTTTCTGGGGAGAGGGTGTTTAGCGACTTCTCGAGAGCCAAGGAAAGGTAATCCAGGCAGAGGGACCCAAAGGTGGAGGCGTGGAATGGCTGGAAGGTTTTGGAGGATGGAGAATGGCGCTTTGTGGCCGGAATGTAGAACAGGGGGTGGAGGAAAACGAGGATGGAGAGGTGGGGGGTGGGAGGGGCAGGGCCTCTAACACCACACTTGACTCTCTCCTAAGGGTAGTGGGGAGCTAGCAGAAGGTAGTGAGCAGGAAGAGAGTCAGCGTCAGCTCCAGATGCCAGAAAGACTCCTCTGGGACGTGCCGGGAGGCCAGAATGGAGAGAGAAGCTTGGCAATGCAATAGGTGGGACAGGAGACAGGAAAAGGCCTGACTTGGACCAGGGCACGGGATGGAAAAGAAGGAGTGAGCCAGAAAGATTTGGGGGCAGGAGGAAGCAGACTTGGGGATCCCAGGGCTTTGTGGGGGTGGCAGGAAGGAAGGGGGCAAGGATAGCGCCCAGGGTTCTGACCCGATGAACTGGGTGGGACGGTGGGGTCATCCCTGGCTTGGTGGAAGATGCTGAGCTCAGCTGGGAGGTGGTCTAGCGTCAGGCGTCTGGAAGACATTCAGAAGTGAGGACTCCAGTCTAAGGCTCGGGAGAGAGATCTGGGCTGGAGATGGAGTTTGGGATGCCACAGAGCATCAGTGACCCCCGGAGCTGCAGGAGCGAGGAGGCTCACCTGGCAAGAAGGTGGAGGATGGAGCCTCAAGGAAAACTGGCATTGAGAAGTAAAGGGAAGGAGGAGGAGGAGCTGGGAGGGCACAGTCAGAGAGGGAGGAGAAGCTTCTAGGACACGGTCTACCATGCCATGGCCCTCAGGCTCCCCACAGACCGGCTCCCATCCAACTCTCAGCTGTCACTTTGCTAGGAGAGCTGCCTCGGGGTGTGTGTGTGTGTGTGTGTGTGTGTGTGTGTGTGTGTATGGGTGGGTGGGTGGTTATCTCTTTAAACGGCTGCTGCGACAGACGGTTCTGGAACTCCTGCTGCCTCACAGAGACCCAGTCTCCCTTCCCCCACCCCTCTGTGCTCTGTGTCTAAGAGGCCCTGGGAGTTGGGTGTAAGTCACTTAGGTAGGTGTGTGTGGGGGTGGGGGTGGGGGTGGGGGGAGGGCACTGGACAGGCCAAAGGAACATCCCACTGGGGGATGGACGTCTCTGGAAGACTGGGAAGTTCCTTGGGAGAAGGTCTCCAAGTCCCCAGTAGGAGCACCAGGGCACGGGGGAAGGAGGTCTTGGGTTTGGGAGGGACCTAAGCGAGGGGTCCCCAGGCAGAGGTGCTGGGGGACGGGCCTGGAGCACGGGAGGACTGAGGGAAAGGGGTCTCCAGATCCCCAGAAGTAGGGGCCCCAGGCAGGGGTCTGGGATATGGAGGGACAAGAGGGAGGGGGTCTGAAGGAGCTGGGAGACGGACCTGGGGTCGGGAGGGGTGTTGGCTAATCCGGCACGTGTGGCCCCTCGGCAGCAGCCTCTCTGGATGGGGGTGAAGCGGAGTCTTCAGAGCGGGGGCACCTTGCTGGGCCTCTTGGGCAACGTCTTGACGATTCTCTCCACTGCCACCAACTACTGGAACCACTCCACTGGGGGCCACAGCGGCCTGTGGCAGGAGTGTAACGGCAGCCTCTGCTCCAACATCCCCTGCCAGAGTGAGGCCCCGCTCGCCCAGATGTCAGACCCCCACTGGACAGACAGGCCCTAGCACTGACCACAGCTGGCCCCATCTCCTGACACAACCGCTGGGCACATCCTGCGGTGCCCCCACTCCCACCCATTCCACTCCAGTCTCAGATCCTCCTGCCGCGACATTAACAGCCCCTCATGACACAGTTTTCAAGCCCCGATGCAAACCTCTGACTCTGCTCCCAGTCCTGCACCGGCGGGTGTGTTGGGGCGGGGGTCGGGGGGGTCGGGACGGAGCCAGCGTGGGGCTGATGCGGCCCGCTCTCCCCAGCCATGCTGGCAGTGACTGGGGCGTGCATGGTGCTGGCCGCCGGCTGCGGCATCGTGGGGTTGGTGATGGGGCTGCGGATTCTGTGCCAGGAGGGCAACTCGCGGGGCCAGACCACGAGCGCCATCTTCTTCCTCTGCGGTGAGAGGCAGCGGGCCCCCAGGCATAGGGGGTTGGAGGGACCGGGACCCAGGGGTCGCGGCTGGAGGCACTGGAGACCCAGAGGAGGGGGCGGAGCTGGAAAAGCAGGGCCAGGGGCGGTGCTGGGACGATGGGCGTGGAGTGGCGGAGCAGGGACTGGGAGGGGGAGGCGGAGGCGTGGCCTGGTGGAGCAGGGACCTGCCGGGCCAGAAGGGAGCGTGGCTAGGGGCAGTGGGCGCGGTCTGCGTGGGGCCTGGTTGCAGCCCCCGGGCCAAGCTCACCTGGCGGGTGGGGCGACCCAGGCCTGCTGCTGCTGATCGCCTTGACAGGCTACACGGTGAAGAACGCGTGGAAAAACGACATCATCTTCTCCTGGTCCTATTTTTTGGGGTGGCTCGCCTTACCCTTCTCTGTTCTTGCGGGTAACCTGGACAGTGGGAAGAGGGTGGACAAAACTGCCTAGAGGACCCCCCTTCCCCGCAGAGACTCCCCAGCCCCCTACCAGGAAACCCCACAGTGACCCTCTAGGAACTCCCCAACACAGTCCTCTCCTGACTCCTGCAGACCCCGCAGAGATGCCCTTGAACCCCAAAGCCCAGTCCCCGGGGCCCTCCTGGTCATCCGCCCCAGGACCCACCCTCCTCCACCCGCCCTCCGCTTACCCCCCGCCAGGCTTCTGCTTTCTGCTGGCGGATATGATCGTGCAGGGCACGGATGCCATCAGTGGATTCCCCGTGTGCTTGTGACCGCAGCCTGCCTGGGGCAGAATAAAGGACGCGCTTCCGCCGCCGCAGCTCCGAGTGTCTTTCTGGGGACGTGAGGACGCGGGCACGGGCGACATGAACGGACGTGGGAACATGTACATGAACAGGGACTCGGGCACAGGGGTACATGGAGGCTCAGGGAGGAAGAACATAGGATATGAACCTATAGGGAACGTGGGGCCATGGGCGGGGGGGGGGGGGGGGGGCGGGCACGGGCAAGGAAACACGAGCATGGAGTGGACAAGGGACACGGATTTGGAGGGGAACGGGGACACGAGGGGAGTGGGGTCAGGAGGGGACATGTGCACATAGAAGGGATGTAGGGACACAGATATGAGGGAAAGTGGAGACACGGACAAGGGAGGACAGATATGGAGGGAGGTAGAGGCGTGATCATGGGACAAGGAACGTGGAGAAAATGGGGGGACACGGACACAGGAGGACTCAGAGGCGTGGGGACACGGGCACTGCGTCTTGGAGCGGCGAGGAGGAGGTAGGGAACTGGAGGAGCGGATAGGTCCGAGGGCGTTGGGAAAGGTCCAGGACAACCGGGAGCAGCTCCACTCCGGCGCCGCTTCCTTCCCCCGCCCGACCTTTCCCCTAGTTCGGGGTCACGCCCCCTTCACAAAGCCCGCTTCCCCTTTCCCCCGGGTCCCGCCTCTCTCCCCGGGATCCGCTCCCCATTGGTCTGCAACGGTTTGCCACACCTCCCTCCCTTCCGGCCTTCCGATTGGTCCTCTCTCGGGGCGGAGGCGGGCATTGCAGCGGTTGACTGGCTGGCGGCGTGCCGCGCAGGCGCAGAGAAGGACGGCGCCTGGGTGTCTGGACCCCGAGGCCGAGGCTGCGGACCGACCCGGCGAGGTGGCTGCGGCAGGAAGATGGCGGGGCTGCGCGCGCTCGTGGCTGTCAAGAGGGTGATCGACTTCGCCGTGAAGGTGACCGGGCCCCCTCCCACCTCCCTGTGTCCCGCGGCCGTGTGCGTCCAGGGTCACGAGCGCACACCGCATGCGGGGGTGTCTCCTCGTAACCTCTGATCTCTGTCGCTCTTCCCCCAAACATCAAAGTCACACCTGAGGGCAAAGGTCAAGGACTGAGAGTCTGCCCGCCTATCCCTCCTCACTCACACCCCGCCCCTCTGGAGTCATGGCCTCGTTCCCTCTCCCTAGTTCTGGACTCACTCTCTGGATCACTGGTGCAGGGCGAGTTACCTTCGCTATTTCTTACCTGCTGGGGGAGTCGTGGTCCCTGTTTAATACACGGAGAAACTGAGGCACAGAGGGGCCACTCAGCTGGGAAGGGGCAGAGCCGAGATTCCTATCCAGGTTCCTCTGACTCCTCCCTGCGAGTGCTTTGCACGCAAGCCGAGCTTTCACCTACTGGGCTGCATTGCACACTGTTGACTCCGCATAGGAACCAGCTATAAGGGAGGTCAGACAAGGCACTGCGGGAGCCCAGAGCCGTCTTTCATCCTATATAGATAGCCATAGGGTGAGCCAGGAGGCTTTAGCTAGAAAGGGACGGAGGCGTGGTTGCTAGAGATGAAAGCCAGTCTGATTGAGTTGGTGGACTGGTTCATGTGCTCCATGAGAAGGGTTGGGGACAGTGTCTCCGTGGCCTGGCTTGTCCCCGGAGAGAAGCTGGTCTGGACAGAGGTGAATCAGACACAGTCCCTCCACTTTCTCCCAATACTTACACCAGACAAGGTGGTGACTGTCTATCCATGTCTGTCCCCCATCAAACTGGGAGCCCACCTCCGTGTCCCCAGCCTTGCCCAGCAAGGGGCCTGGCATGCCCCGAGGCTTTGGGGTGGATGAATCCAGGGCTAGGAAGTTGATGCTGCTACTGCCCCTGCCGGCCTGCGGGGGTGGGATGAGGAGGAGGGCCCAGGAGCCAGACCCGGGCAGGAAAACTTCAGTGATCGATAACAGGTCTCCTTGAGTGGGTCCTCACTGTGCACCAGGCAGCCATCTAAGTCCTTGACAGAGATGAGCCCATTCAGTCCTTTCAATACCCTCTAGATATTAGTAATCCTGATGGACAGATGAGGAAACTGAGGCCCGAGGAGGGTCTTTTACCTGCCAGATCACCCAGTGAGGCCACGAGAGTCAGGATTGAAACGCACTCGAGTCCTGCTCTGGTCTCTGTGCCCCTCGCATCTCCACTCAACAGCCACTTGCCTCCTGACAGCTCTGGCGGGCGTATGGCAGGGCTGTGGGCTCCAGCCTTTTGGACACGTGCTCGTCTTGGGGTCCTGGGACCCAACTCTCCTGGTTGCCTCCCGCCTCCGACTTTTCCTTTGGGCTCCAGAGCCCCTGGGCCTCCCTCTGCCCTAGCCCTGGCCCCTGGCCTGAGATGTCTGGGGTGGTATCTGTTTCTCCCACCAGGTAGGCCCGTGTTCGACTCGGCTCTGGGTCCCAGCATTGCCCAGCGGGGGGCCTGGCACATGGGTGCCTCAGGGAGCATGAACGTGTCCTTTATGAGCTCCTATCTTGTCCCCAGGTTTCGGTGCTGCCTGCCCCTCCCACAGGGCCCCAGGGTGCCCTCTGTTACATCCTGTCCCACTGGTTGTGTCTGTGGACATCCCTTTCTCAACAACCAAATATTCAAACACTGCCAACCACCTAATCACCAGGCCAGGCCCGTGGCAGCACCTGCCCCTCCTCCCCTCACTGCCCACCACCTGTCCTTCCTCAGCCCCCTGCCTCCTGCCCTCTCCTCTCTCTGCCCTGTCCCCTCTTCTCCATCCTCATGGCCCCAACTGTTCAGGCCTCATCTCTCCCTCCTGGACTCTCGCCCTAGTCTCCTCCCTACCTTTCAGTCTCTCCCCTTCCAGTCCGACCCCTCCCAGCTTCAGGGGTCTTCCTGCACCCAGAGCAGACCCCGCCCCTCCCCTGCTCAGAGTCCTCCTGTGGCTCCCCAGCCCCTCAGCCTGGCGTTCGAGACCCTTCGTGGTCTGGCCCTGGCCCCCTGTTCAGCCATCCATGTTCCCCTGTCCCACCCTCACCTGGGTGCCTCCACTGCTCCCACTGGCTTGTGCTTTCCTCATAGAACAGGCCGCTTCTTGCTGTGGGCCTTTGCCCCTCCTGTGCCTTCTGCCTGGGTGCCCTTGCCGCTCCACCCTCCAACCTCTGCTTCTTATCCCTCCCTTTGGAGATTCTCTGGCATCACCTCCTCCAGGAAGCCCGCCGCCCCACCCCCTCAGGCTCCTGCAGCCCTCTGGGCTTGCCTGTCTCAGCTTCCCCTCATAGTGGATTGGGACCCTCTTTTTCCCAGATGTCACCCCTACCCCTAGACTGGCAGCTCCTTTTGGGGAGTGCAGGGTCTGACCCACCTCTGTGTTTCCAGCATCGCTTCCTCACCTCCTTCCAGTATTTACTCAAATGTCGCCTTCCCTGTGAGGCCTTCCCTGGATGCCTTCTTAAAATCACAGCACCCATGGTCCCTGTCCCCTTCCTTGCTGTATTTTCCCCCATACTCATCACTTTGTAACCCACAGCGTGATATACCCATCTATTGCTTTAGTGTCTGTCTCCCCCTCTGGAATTGGAGCTCCAGGATGGGGAGGAGAGTCTGTCTGATGCAGTGACTGCCGCCTTAGATGGTGGGTACACTGATAGAGCTGCTCGGAGCGGGGACTCCGAGCCCAGCCACCCGGATCTGCTTCCTGCTGTGTGCCCTTGGGGGAGTTGCTTAACCACTCTGAGCCTCATTTTCCTCCCCAGTACACTGGAGATAGTGGTAGTACCTCCTTTATTGGCTTGTAGTGAAGATTAAACAAGCTTTTAGAACAGTGCCTAAGGCCGGCCTGGTGGCACAGCGGTTAAGTGCGCACGTTCCGCTTCGGGGGGCCTGGCGTTCACCGGTTCGGATCCCTGGTGTGGACATGGCACCGCTTGGCAAAAGCCATGCTGTGGCAGGCATCCCACATATAAAGTAGGGGAAGATGGGCATAGATGTTAGCTCAGGGCCAGTCTTCCTCAGCAAAAAAAAAAGAGGAGGATTGGCAGCAGATGTTAGCTCAGGGCCAATCTTCCTCAAAAAAAAAAAAGGAAAGAAAAAAAGAACAGTGCCTGGTACATAAGGGTTGGCTGGTCCTTGGTGAGTATTGTTATTATTGATAGTCATAGTAATGTAAGTTTATTTAGTCCTTTCTTCAAAACGTAACACATGTTCTGCCCAGTGTGTGTGTGGCTGCGTCTCTGGAGGTGTGTGTCTAGGACATTAATAGCCAATCTAGTGATAGCCAGCTCCGGCGGGGGGCCCGTGTTCTGGGAGGCTGATGAAGCCGGCCCTTGACGGCTTCTTTGAAGCCCCGGGAGAGGCTGGAGCAGTTTTGCGTTCATAATTTAGTGTTCCTTTTCTTAAAGGGGTCTCTCCAAAGAATGGAAACTTCAGGCCCCAGAAACCCTATTTCCATCTCGGGGCCCAACCCCGGCCAGCCACCCCGTCTGTCGGTTCTGGGAGCACACGGCTTTTTCCCCTACTTACTCCTCCTGTTCTTGGCTTGGCTGGCACCTCTCCCTCAGGCCACACATGTCACCTCCGTGGGGATGTCGATCTTCTCCGTCTGCCCCAGATGAGGTCTCCTTTGGAAGGGTCTCCTCGCACTGACCACCGCCTTAGCCGTCTGTGGCTGGCATCGCTCCTGGCCGCCCTCTGCCTGTCTGGCCTTGGCTGACCTGGTAGCTCTGTGTCCTGGTCACTCTGCCCCAGCACACGCACAGTGACTCACCTGATAAAAAAGTCTAGAGGACAGAACTGACCAGAAATCCTTGAGCTGTGTCGGGGCTTCAAGAAGAGCTGTCAGAAATCACGTTATAAAAAGCCGCTTGGATAGAGTGGGCAACCAATGAAAAGACCGACTCTCTTACCTCCGAGGGCACATTTGGCATCCTGAAGAGACTCATGGTCCCCAAAACTGACCTGAGGTTACACCCTTGGTCTTGCCACTTCCTTGCTGTGTGACCTTGCTCAAGGCACTTGGCCTCTCTGTGCCTCAGTTGCCCCATCTTTTAAAATGAGGGTGGTCACGTCAGGAACCAACCTCCTGGGCTATTAGGACTGATCAATGAGTTCATGGATACGA